AAGACTCGAGCATCTAGACGAAGTGACGGGGAGACGGATGGAGCTTCAGAGAAAGAGGGATGATTTGAAGGGCTTGTGGGGGGATAGGTACCAAAAAAGGTGCGAGGGGCTCGTACTTGGCTATTTTTTAGGTGCTTTGTGAACTGTAATTCTTTGAGGGTCATAGGACTGGGACAGTTTTGTGTTTCAATTATGGGTGGAGATGCACAAACTTGGGCTGAAGGGAAGGAGCCAGTGGGGTGAAGAAAATAGATGCAGAGAAGAGGAGTGATGTTGGAGGAGCTTCTCCAGCAGAGAAGGGAGGTGGGCCTGGGGCTCGGGTGGGAGCCTGCGCTGGGGAGGGAGGCCAACTTGTGAGCTGAGGAACAGCGTCAGGAGGAGGGGAAACGGACAAGGAGGGACCTGAGCGTGCTTGGACTGGAGGGAAAGCAGATGAGATGGGCCCTTGGTGTCTTCTATGTTTTAGAAAAATAAAACATCTCTGAGAAATCTACAGTGGAAACCACGTCCCCTGCCCCTTCTCCCTGTTACCATTCTTATCCCAGAAGTGGCCATGTGCAACTCCTTGAGCTGTTTTCTCCCCCGAAGTTTACTTCCATATTTCTAAATCAAGTTATTAGATCTCTCTATATGGATATTATATACAGTATTTGACATTATCAGCTGCAGACATTAGCCTATAAGGCTCTCTCATGTCTCCCCCTCCTGCCAATTCCCAGTAGTTATACCATAGAAATCAAGCCAGTATTGATACTATTAGCTAAACAGTTCAATAATAGCCAAATAGGATTGTGTTGAGGGTGTCAGAGCCGCCCGTTCTGCACAGAGTCCTGGACAGGCTCCCCGTGGAGATCAGTGAAGGATATTTGGCCCAAGCGGTTTATTTGTTCATTCTTTCCCCTCTGCCTTCCACTTGCTATCACAAGCCTGGGTGTTGAGGGAGTGGTGACTCTAAGAGGGAGAACTATCACTGATTCTAGGTACTGGCATTGCCCTTACAGACCCTGGAAAGACGATTATCATTGGCAAAGTTTGGGCGCCTCCTCTACCGGCTGGCGGGAGGGTGCGGCCCAGGGTACCAGGCTTTCTTCCTTCACCAGATACTTTCTTCCTTCACCAGGGACTTCCTTCACGTGCCAGTCCCTGGTGACAAAAGATCATTAAAACGTGTCCTCAGGTGTTTATCAGGAGAAGGCAGTGGCACCCCACTCCAGCACTCTTGCCTGGAGGATCCCATGGACGGAGGAGCCTGGTGGGCTGCAGTCCATGGGGTTGCTAGGAGTCAGACATGACTGAGCAACTTGGAGAAGGAAATGGCAACCCACTCCAGTGATCTTGCCCGGAGAGTCCCAGGGACGGGGGAGCCTGGTGGGCTGCCGTCTATGGGGTCGCACAGAGTCAGACACGACTGAAGGGACTTAGCAGCAGCAGCAGTTAAGTGTTCATCATCCAGCAAGTGAGGGGAGGTGTAAAAACCAGACAGGCCCTCAGAGCTCCGTGACTGGGAGGCAGGGTTGTTAGGCGCTGCTGGGCTTCACAAGGAGGAGCGGGACTGCGGGGAGGGGCGTGTGTCGTCGAGGGTTCCCGAAGAGCCCAGCCCCTGGGGCTGGACTGAAGGCAGCAGGAGACGATGGAGCAGGTGGTGCGGACACGGCTGTCAGAGGAGATGCGACTGGATTTTACGAGCAGTGGAGGATAGCTAGAGGTTCCTGAGCAGGGAAGATGACTAGGATGGACTCGCCTCTGAGAAAGGTGGGAAGGACCCAAAGGATGATTCAAAACGAGAAGAGGCTAGACTTAGCCCGGATCGGGGTGCGTGAGAGAAAGAGGGCAAGTGAAATAAGACTCGAGCATCTAGACGAAGTGACGGGGAGACGGATGGAGCTTCAGAGAAAGAGGGATGATTTGAAGGGCTTGTGGGGGGATAGGTACCAAAAAAGGTGCGAGGGGCTCGTACTTGGCTATTTTTTAGGTGCTTTGTGAACTGTAATTCTTTGAGGGTCATAGGACTGGGACAGTTTTGTGTTTCAATTATGGGTGGAGATGCACAAACTTGGGCTGAAGGGAAGGAGCCAGTGGGGTGAAGAAAATAGATGCAGAGAAGAGGAGTGATGTTGGAGGAGCTTCTCCAGCAGAGAAGGGAGGTGGGCCTGGGGCTCGGGTGGGAGCCTGCGCTGGGGAGGGAGGCCAACTTGTGAGCTGAGGAACAGCGTCAGGAGGAGGGGAAACGGACAAGGAGGGACCTGAGCGTGCTTGGACTGGAGGGAAAGCAGACGAGATGGGCCCTTGGTGTCTTCTATGTTTTAGAAAAATAAAACATCTCTGAGAAATCTACAGTGGAAACCACGTCCCCTGCCCCTTCTCCCTGTTACCATTCTCATCCCAGAAGTGGCCATGTGCAACTCCTTGAGCTGTTTTCTCCCCCGAAGTTTACTTCCATATTTCTAAATCAAGTTATTAGATCTCTCTATATGGATATTATATACAGTATTTGACATTATCAGCTGCAGACATTAGCCTATAAGGCTCTCTCATGTCTCCCCCTCCTGCCAATTCCCAGTAGTTATACCATAGAAATCAAGCCAGTATTGATACTATTAGCTAAACAGTTCAATAATAGCCAAATAGGATTGTGTTGCTTTCCTCTGAATTAGTGGGAGTGTTATTTGCTAGATTTTATGTATCTGTCTTGGGATTCTTCTCACTGAAACTCTCTCAACACCATAAAAAGTATCATCATTTGTTGGTTTCATTTTTAAATTTTTTTGGCAAATTATGCAGATTTTTTAAAAAATTTCAAATTGGAGAATAATAGATACAATGTTGTTGGTTTCTGTTGTACAACAATGTGAATCAATGTAAGTATACATTTATTCCCTTCCATTTTTTAATTTAATGACCTCCCTCTGGGAGTTCTCTCTTCCCAACACAGCCTGGACTGCTTCCTCTCTAGACTTGAGAAAGCTCTAAGGCTTTCAATCTGAAACTTCTTTCACTACCATCCCAGAAGTTTCTTGAACTTCTCTCCTGTCTTACACCCTTTTCTTTACTCCACATTTTTTTTTTAAAATGATTTACTTTCAGTGTAGTACATTTTCCAATAGCTTTTTAAGAAAGGGTGCTCGAGAGTTTTGCTGGTCTTTAACTATTTCATGGCTGAAAACAGGTTTATTTTAGTTTCACAACTGGCAGATGTTTTAGCTGACTATAGAACTCAAGATTAACGATATTCCTTCAACATTTGAAGGTGTTCTTTTGCTTTCTGGTTTCCCTTGAGAGTCTGATGATGTCCTTCTGATCTGAAGTCACTTCCCTCCCCTAAGTCTGTAGGATCTTCTCTTTATCCTCAGTGTTCTGAATATGCCTTGGTTTGCGTCTTTTATTCAGTAATCCAGCTGGGATCTTTTACAATTCTGGCGAATTGTGTATTTGATTCTCTCCTTACCACCTCTCTATGCCCCAGTTTTTCTATTTTTTTCGAGAAAGTTCTGGGTTGGAAATAATCTAATTTTCCTACACTTTCTCTCCTATTATCCATTATTTTATCTACCTGGTCTACCTTCTAAAAGATCTCCTTGATTTTGTCTACCAACTCTTTGAATTTTCTTATTTTTGGCAAGCATATTTCTAATCAGTAAGGACATTCTTATTCTCTGGTTAGGCCTCTTTTAAATACCAATCTATTCTTGTACTTTGGATGCAGTGCCTTCTGTCTGAGTTTATTTGCCTATTTTTTAGAGTAGGCACAGAGTTTATAAGAAACAGTACATGTGGGAGAGCATGCAAAGAAGCAGTTTATTTCAGACAGAAGAAGCTTGAAGGTGGGCATCCTTGTTAGTAAAGAGTATGTCTTAACTATATGTTTATTTTCTTGTATTATCTGTTTTTTCAAAGTTCCTTTTTATTGGATGGTTATTTCCTTCTCATCCTGTCCTTCACTGTGGCTAGTGGTCTCCATTTCTGAAATCCTTCATGCCACAGTTTGAGAATTAAGGCTTGATTCCTTCCCACTGTATGGTGTGAATTAACTTATCTTCAATGCATCTAGAGTGGTATTAGCTCTGTACCATCTTGGGGGCACTTGAGAAAGTGATGATCAGTTCATTCAGCTCATTTTCTTGAGGGCTTCATCCTCTCATGTAAAGGCTGCTTGAGGAAAAGCCCCCCTTGGGGCTGGAGGTGGGCTAGCAACCCAGCTCTGTGGGTAGAGGGACCTGTGTTCCATCTGCCACCATCACCTTTGTGAGTTTAAAAACAACCAGACTGGGGTGGGGGTGGGGGTACAATGCAGTTACTGATTTTACTTGATCATAACTTTGGAGCTTTGGAACCTGGGCCATGGCAGGCACCCTACGGATGGAGGAGGAGGAGGTAGGTGGGGGTTGGCTGTTGAGGAAGGTATCGGGGCCAGTCCTGGTTATTCTTATATGTCTTGCAGGCCTGCAGGAAGGGCTTCCTGGAAGGGCAGTTCCAGGAATGTATTCAGAGTAGGAAATGGGGGCAGTTTCCAGGCCGTGTCTCAGCACGGTCCCGAGAGGGCAGGGAGTGTGAACCGGGAGGCTCCTGCAGCGGAAGTACTCCAGCCGGTGATCTTAAGGTTGTGGTGACCCCTGTGCCTGCCGCAGAGGCAGCCCGCACTCTCTGACACTCTGGGTCATGTGAGGTCCGCAGAAGCAGGCCCTCGGCTCATGGGGTGGTGGCAGGCAGGTACAGTTGCAGGGTCATTATGAAGTTTTTGCTGCTGGAACCAAGGACAATGTTATTTTGGGGAGAGCAACAATCATGGAGAAAGAGAGGCTGAAGACCCTCCTCTCTGGGGCAAGGGGTCCCCATGCTGTGGTGGCTGCTCTTGTGTTTACCAGTGGACCTGGCCCGGGGACCCCCAAGCACACGCCTTCCAGGAAGCCACACCCCCGGGGTCTCACAGAGGGGCCTGTGGTTGAGCAGTCAAGTCTGTGGTTTTTAACTCTGTATTTCTTTCCACTTTCCCCAATGCTCAGCGGAGGAGCCCTCAGAAACGCCTCAGCCTCTGCCCCAGGGGAAGGCCCAGGAGGAGGCAGGAAAGCCCTCGAGCCCGGCAGAGGCCCCCACGGAGCTGTCCACTCCAGTGCTGACCCCCCTGCCGCCAGCCAGCACTCCTGTGCCTCCGAGGGACCCAGGACAGAAGCCCATCCTGCCCAAGAGACGACCCCCACCCCTGCGGCCTGGCTGGACAGGGCTGCCCTTCTTGCCTGGCTCCACAGGGATCATCATGGAGACTGGAGAGGCCGGCCCCCCAGGCAGGATGCGGGTGTCGGGGCGGGGCCTGCCCCGGGGTGTGGATGGCCAGACAGGGCAGCGGCCAATCCCCAGCGCCGAGGGCTATGCAGGAGCGCCAGGTAAGAGCACCGCAGGCGCTGGGAGGCTGCTGTGGGGCTCTGTGGGTCATGGGTCCAGCGTCCAGAACTGAGCTGTCCAAAGCTGCTGCAGTGCCCTCAGCACAGAGCATCACACTTAGAGTTGCACCTTGGGCTATATGACTTGTGCCATCCGGGCAGCTCGCTGATCCTCGCAGCAGGAAGTGGACTTGGCAAACCAAACATGTCCCAGGAGCCTGGGCAGCAGAAAAGAGAGCACACCACTAAGTGGGTAGGGTGGAAGGTCTGGCTCCAACATTACATGTGTTTTGGAGGCTGGAGGACGGCAGAAGTTGGAGGAGGTTGTTGGAAGTCGGAAGAGGTAGGAGGATGCAGGCTGGAGGTTAGAGGAGATTGGAGGATGGTGAGAGGAGGTTGGAGAATAGAAGTTGGATGCTGGAGGTGGTTGCAGGAGGGTTGGGAGGATGAAGTTGGAGAAGGTTAGATGGAGGAAGTTGGAGGACGTTGGAGGATGGAAGAGACTGGAGAAGGATGGAGGAAGGAGGTTGGGTGGAGGAGGAAGTTGTTGGAGGAAGTTGGACAAGGATGGAGGAAGTTGAAAGACATTGGAGGCTGGAGGTTGAAATCTGGAGGAGGATGAAGGAGGCTGGACAAGGGAGGAAGTTGGAGGGTGGCTGAAGTTGGAAAATGGAGGTTGGAAGAGGCTGGAGGAGACTGGAGGAGTTTGGATTTTGGAGGAGGACGGAGGTGGAGGATAGAGGAAGAGGAGAGGTAAAGGACACTCACTGTGTTTCTGTCCTGAAGTAGGTGCTAGACATGCATGCAGCTCCTTGACCAGCACCATGGCTGACATTCTGACACATGAGGAAACGGGCTGTGAGCTCTGACATGTAAACCCGTGGTGTTGGGTGAGGGAAGTCACATCAGCTGTCAGCGGATAGTACCACCCTCAGAGTTACACCCTTCAATAGCTAGAAGCGCCCGCCTGCAGGAAGCAATGCGGCTGCCGGCGGTTCCTCCTAGCCACCCCTGGCTCTTAGGCAGGGTGGACAGCTTCCCTTCTGTTGGTTCCATGTATCGTGGGTGTTATATTCTGTCAGGTTATGTGCTCCTTTGCACCTCTGTCCATCCTCCTCCTCTGTGAGGAACAAGGGGCAGAGGAGGGGCTCAGAAAGGAGGGGCTGGTACGGGTTCTGACAGAGCGTCTGTTTTTCAGGGTACCCCAAGTCACCGCCTGCAGCCTCCCCAGGTACGTCAGCCAGGACAGCAGGGGTGGGAGGGGAGGCCGGGGTGGGGGGGCCTGGGTGCCCCACCCCCAGACATCATGCACGCGCCAAGCCCCCACCTGACACAGCACCCCAGGCACTCCCACAGCCACTTGCTCCTCCGAGGATGAGATTGGGCCCCAACTGTGTCCACCCTGAGGGGAAATGAGAGGCCAAGGCCGCCCCTTGGGACTGCACACAGGCCTGGGCTGGGCCTGACTGCGAGTGCATCCTGTCCCCCCAGGGGCTCCAGCGCCGTCTCTCGTGTCCTTCTCCGCGGGGCTCACCCGGAAGCCCTTCCCCAGCGACGCCGGCGTGGTCCTGTTCAACAAGGTGCTGGTGAATGATGGGGACGTGTACGACCCCAGCACCGGTGAGTCTGCCCGCGCTTAGCTGCTTCGGAGGGCCTCCCGGCCGGAGGTGAAAAAGAAGGCCCTCCCGCTGCCCCTTTCTGAGCCAGAACCCGCTTACCCTGCCAGGACAGGTCTGCATGAGCCCCAGCCCCCAAATGGGAGGCCAGCCTTGAGCCGGGGCTGCTGCCCCCGGGGTGTCTCAACTGTAAGAGGAGAGACAGGGCCCCTTGGTCCCCGCTGTTCTCCCACCCACGGGCGCCAGTGGACGGGGTGGTCACAGGTCACACGCGTGCGGTAGCCGGGGCTCTGTGCGGCCCCTGGGGGCAAGCAGCTGGTTCTGGGCAGAGGTGGAAGCTGCCACCCAGGCCCCGGGTTTTAGCATCAGAGCTGCTTTGCTGTGTGCTCATGGCCAGCTTTCTGGGCACCCTTGCTCCCCCCGGCCCAGATGCCCAGAACCAGAGTCTGGGCCGTGGGTCACAGTAAATGGGTTCCAGTGACACTGAGCAGAGACGCAGACCGTGTGCCCAGAGCGCAGGGCCTGATCTGTCCCTGAGGCCCTACGGTACGATTAAGAGCTCAGTGACCTGGCCGTCGCAGGGCAGGTCGAAGACTCGGGCCCCCTCCCCAGAGCCCTCGGAGGTGGCCACTCCCGCCAGCATGGGGTCTGGGCTCCCCGCAGCTCATCCCCCAACAGTGGGCCTGCCTCTGGTGGGGAGGGGGTGAGCTGTCTGCCATCACCCAGGCTGAGTGCCTGCTCGGCGCACAGGCCGTGATCGGTACCCAGCACTCAGGTCCCCCTTCCTCCCCGCAGGGGTCTTCACGGCTCCCTACGACGGGCGCTACCTGATCACAGCCACCCTCACGCCTGAGAGGGACGCGTATGTGGAGGCCGTCCTGTCGGTGGCCAATGCCAGCGTGGCCCAGCTACACACGGCCGGCTACCGGAGAGAGTTCCTGGAGTACCACCGGCCGCAGGGGGCCCCGCACACCTGTGGGGGCCCGGGCGCCTTCCACCTCATCGTGCACCTCAAGGCAGGGGATGGCGTCAACATCGTGGTCACAGGGGGCCGGCTGGCCCACACGGACTTTGACGAGATGTACTCCACCTTCAGCGGGGTCTTCCTGTACCCTTTTCTTTCCCACCTCTGAGGCAGCCGGGAAGCGGGAAGGAGCTGAGAGAGCTCGGGAGCTGTAATATATTCAGCGTGTGTGTAGCCGGGGCACGGGGCAAGCTCTCTGCAGACACCCCGCCCCTCCCCCAAGACAGAGGTGGCCGGCGGCGGGGGGAACCACGGGGGAATGTGGCCACCGCTCCCGTCACTCCGACTGGACAGCCGGACCAGAGTCGGAGGCGCCCCGCCTGCCCCCGGCTCCTCCCCCGTGTCCCCCCAGCCTCCGGCTGGGCTTACCAGGTGCTGACCGCGGAGGCTCCGACTGCTGCCCGCTGGACCACGTCCTCCGGATGGACAATGAGGAGGAGCTGCTGCGAGGAGGCAGGCAGCAGAAACTGGTACCCGCCGCGTCTGTCTTCACTGGAGCAGAGCCATCGCCGGCCGTGTCTTTGTTTACCCTGCCGGCGGGAGAAGAGTTGAAACACTGAAGTGGCACAGGCCACCACAGACCCAGGGTGGACAGTGGGCTGTCCCAGGCTTGGCTCGCCATCCCTTCCCCACCCCCGCCCCCACGCAGCATTTGCCTGGCTGAGAGGATGATGCAGGAGAGACTGTTGTGTGGCTTGTTGAGGCTCCTTGAATGACATGTACGACTCAAGTGCAAAGACAGGGAGTGGCAATAAAAACATAAAACACTTCCAGTGTAAGGCTGGTGCCTTGTGGATTGAGGGTTGCTGCTAAAAAGCACAACTGGAGTAAGCGAGTTTAATGGCTGTAGGAAGGAAGCTTGAATACGTGGATCTCAACTGTGCAGCCGGCATCCCTCAGCATCAAGGCTGTGCACCTCGGGGTTGTAGGCGGCTTATAAAGACAGACCGGATGTGCCTGGAGGTCAGAGCCCCCCACGGCGGAAAGTGGGGGCTCCTCCAGGGAAGGCTGAACGTCGCACTTAAGGAGCAGGTGTCCAAGCTAACATGACTGCTCGCCGCCCAGCTCTAAGAGACCTCGTGCTCCCAGGGAACCAGAAGCTGATCACACCAAGGCCATCTGGGAAGGGCAGGAACCTTCCCAGGGAGCCCGGGCCCCCACTCCTCTGCCAGCAGCCACACCAGCCCCCTTAGCTCCACATGGTTTTCACTGGTCAGGCAGGCAAAACCTGCTGGCCAGCTGAGTGCCACTGCAGGAGGCAGGTCCTAGGGAGAGACGTGACCATAGAAACAAGTCTCCCGGCCTAAAATCAAGCCACCAGGTTGCTCTTATGCTATAAAAATGCCCTTTCCAGGACTGCTCGCAAGTGAGATCACAGGGTGGCCACTGGGTCCTTGAGATGGGGGGAGCCTTCCTCCTCACCCCTTCCCCCCAGCTAGGGGCAGAGGGGCCCAGGACAGAAGGCCTGCTGTTTTCACGTTTTAAAGTTCAGGACTCTACATCCGGGGCTCAGGGGTGGGGAGCATGCTCACACTGTTTCTACAGCTGGGGAACTGGCTGTCAGCAGCTGTGGCTTCCTAGATATGACTCATGGGAAAAACCCCACGGCTGTGGAGTGTTTTCAGGAAACCCCAGTTGGCACATGGGTCTGCCCTCTCCCCTCACACCCCCTTCACAGGCCTTACCCAGGGCCAAGCAGGACAAACGCTCAGTGGGAACCAGACGGAGGGCGGAGACTGAGCTGCCTCGCTCCACGGATGGTGCTAGAGTGGTGAGTGTGGTGTCCTCCTCGGCGGGGCTTATGACCTGTCTACTGCAGGGGTGAGTTTCAGCCCCGTGCCCACGACACGCAGTGTAGACAGCTCACAGCAGGTCCTGCACTGACTTGAGGAGGAGGAGAGAGGTTCACCAGGAGTCAGCGTCTTGAGAAGGGAGCGGCTGTCCTTTTATACGGAGAGGAGCAGGCTGGGCTGAACTCAGGCTGAGTGGCTCGGAACAGCTCTCTCTGAAAGTCAGTGGCCCGGCACTGAGAGCCTGGGAGAAAGACGTGTGGACCAGGGCCCTGGACTCAATCAGGCACGAGGTTACGACTTCTGAAATGATGGGGTTGCTGAGAAAAAGGTCAGGGTGCACCTTGAGATAAGCAGTGACAGGACTGGGATGTGTCAGTCCTGTCAGCAAACGGCCCCATTTAAATGATGAGAAACAAAACCAGCAATAAAGACTGAAAATCGGCGCAGAATGCAATGTGAAGTTACTCCCACGTTAGCACATTCGTCTTTCTCAGTGAGCCCGTTCTCTTTTGAACTGTTTTTCACACTGTGCAGTTTGAAAGGGAAGAAGTATAGTTGTGATCAGACACACGCTTGTAGCTGCGCACGCAGACTCACTTCTCACACCCGCTCGCCTCGCCCGTCTCGGCCACCAGCCAGCGGGGAGGGCAGCACACCGAAGGGAGTTTTTTCCTGATGTCAACCTGTCTGAGCGCTTCCCTCCTTTGCTGGAAGCGCACTCCACAGCACCGCAGTCCCCACTCCCCGCCCAGCCATTCCATCATGAAAACAAGCAGAGAAGGTGGGTGCTATCCCCACATGGAGGCGCGTGCTTGAGGGAGTTGGTGGGTTCAGCGTGGGCTCAGCCACCAGAAGGGATTAAATAATACATGGGGTGTGGTTTTTGGCTCAGATCACTCTGAGCCTCCTGACAGCTGATGAAAACATCAGGAGGGCTACATGCTATTCACCCAGAGGAAGGGCTTTAATGCCAAGGCGGGGCGGCCAGCACCCTGAGCAGGGCTGAGGGGTGGGGGGGTGCAGTCGGGAGGACACCAGGGGGTGACCCCCGGAAATTACATAGGCATGACTGGATGGCTCCCTGGCAGAACCTACAAAGCAAGGGAGGTTAGTTCCTGTGGGTGGAGCCTCACTTCTAGAGTCAGGTTTTATAAAAACAAGCACCAAAAAGAAGCCCTTTCTATACACAAACTTAAGTGTCAGCAGAGATCGAAATGCTAATTTATGGAAATTAGCAACTTCTGGCAAAAGTTTAGAGAAGACAATTTAAATGTCCCCTGAAGGAAAAAGTCAAGACGCGTTGAGTTCACATTTGTTTATTGTTGTAACATTTTGTTTTGAACATCAAACACTGCACCAAAATATGAGCCATTTATCTTCAGACAGTTATCTTTGCCATTAAGTACTGATGTTGACAATTTCTGACAACTCAAGAAATGTTATTAGTGGCACTGCTGTGTCTAATAATCAAATGTCATCATAGACCGAATGTAATGATTAAAATAAAAGAGCAACATTTCCCCTTCCTCTTCCTACCTTTAAAACAAACCCAAAAAAGTAGTTTTCACCTGGAAAGAGCACTTACTTTAAACCAAAACTCAAATTTTTCACCGGTTTCATTATACCCAGCATTCTCTAAAGCGGGAAAACAAGGCTTCCCAGAGTTAACTATTGATGATACTCGAAAAGATGACAAAATCCCCTGGGAGAGTCTGTTTTCACCAACCTGCAGACAACTCAAGTCCGCTCTTGGCCTGTTCCTTTGGGTCTGACTGGTACCTCTGAGGACACACTCCATCTGCAGGGCCATGTGTAGTCAGGGGTACGAACACTTCTGGCTCCGGTGGGTGGCTATCACTCCTGGATTGTCAGCAGCTTTTATCTCACATCATGCTAGGAAGTTTTTTCCTTTTTCCAGCTGAAAACTAGGCAATGTCTTACAGCACAGCAGATGTGGTCCTCACATGCAGGGCCGAGCCTGCCCGCTCTGGGCCCTCGAGCATGCGTCCTGAGCCCCGCAGAGACGCAGATGTGGACACCACAGCCACACGAGCTTCCGCGCACGGACACCAAGGCAGCTGTACAGTTGGGTGGGATGCAGTCGGGAGGGACGGAAAGAGGGAAGGGGGCCACGGCCATTCCACTGGCGGAGAGAGTGACCCAGAGGCGGCTCCTTGAGATGTCGCCCGCCCCCGAGGGCAGCGAGCGGCCACTGCTCCTCCTCAGCTCTCCTCCTGAGGTCTGTGTACAAACACACCGAGGGCATCTCTCTTTCACAGAAAGAACAAATGTCATTTGTACCAAATGGCAATGGATTTTCAGCACAAACAATACTTTTGTGACACTCGAGCGATAGTCGTCATCTACGTTCAGCAAGAGGGGCTCCTTTAAATGAGGAGGAACACTCAGGTTGATCAGCACGTGTACCCAGCGGACCGGTGACACCGCCGATCAATGTGCAGGGACAAGATGACACACTCTAGCGCTGACGGACACCGGGCGGAGGGGTCGGCCACCCCAGTGCGGGTTCCCAGTCGTGACCCTCTAAGATGCCCCCATCCAGAGAGGAGAGCTCATCAAGGAGAAGCTGTCTCATGAGAGACTCTTTAAAGGACAACCAATGAAGGACGACAGGAAGGCATTGTCAAGCTTTTCCGTACCGCACACGCGCACACAAGCCTATGCGGCTCCAGGGAAGGGCCTGCACCCAGCACAGGGCCAGGCCGCCCCCAGCAGCCATGAGATGAAGGAATCATGGGCGACTAGGATGTCACTAACAGGGCAGAACCTCACATGACAAACACAACGCAGCTTCCTGACCTGCTGTCCGTGAATAGGTTTTTAAACAATGCATCTTTGAACCGTTTACGGTGGGAAGGTTTGCCCTGGGGGAAGCCTGTCTGGTTTCTCTGGGAACACGGCTTCCGGGCTCTGCCTCCAACATGGCTCAGAGGAGTCTGGGACCTTCAACCCTCCACTCTGGAGAGCAGCCACCCCCACTTCTCCAGCTCAAGATGAACAGTACCGTGGTGGAGCAAACTGGAGAGAGGAGTGCCCCCAAAACCAGCAGGGAAAGCAAGAGGCGGACCCGAAACCACAGTGGGGGGAGGGGTGAGCACCACCCTGCAGTATTTCACTATCACCCCGCTCTCCCCCGACTCGAACCTGCTCACTGCTTTCTCACCCAACGCGGGGCTGCATGAGGTCACCACTGGTCCCGAGGGCATCCTCTCTAACAGTTCTCTTGATATTAAGCCCGAGGGGGCTGTCCGCACCAGCTCATCTCTGCAGGCTCGTGCTCACAGCCCTGGAGGGGCGTGTGGACAGAACCCTTCCTGAGTGGCTTGCTCAGCTGCAGGCAGGGGGAGGGGCAACAGACCACTTCCCGGGGCCTGGCACAAGCACACGTCTGCATCTCTAGGCCTCCCTGAGAACTGAGTTTCCCTGCTGGCTAACCGACTCCTGCTGCCAGGACCACTCTCACAACATCACACACATCCTGCAAGACCCGTGCCTTCCGGTGGGTCCAAGACACAACAGTTCAAGTCCCTGCCAAGGAACGGTCAGGGTGAGGAGGTGATGGTCCTTCCTTCCCCTGAAGCCCCAGGCGCCAGAGCCAGCATCCTTCTTCCATGGAGGAGATGGAGGGAGGAGCCCGTGGGAGAAGTGAGCGGGCGATTCAGACATCATCAATAACTGGACCCTGATTCCCTACAAGCAAGCCCTCCTCTCAGAGAGAGAAACACTCTCAACTGCCCAGTGGAAATTAGAACACTTTACTTTGTGCAATGTTTGGTCCACTCTTAGCTTCTCTTTTCTTCTTAAATTATGCAATTGAAGGAGCACCCGGCACGCAACTCGATACAGAGCATGTGGGAGGCCAGGCCGGTGACTGGAGCCCGGGCCTCAGGCCTGAGCCCCTTGCTGTGCCGGCCGCCGGCACCACAGGGCAGCCCCGGGTCCGGGAGGGCACGGG